TTTTTTTTTTTTTTTTTTTTTTTTTTTTTTTTTTTTTTTTTTTTTTTTTTTTTTTTTTTGCCATCGACTCTAGTGGTGTCATGTGTAGCTGAGGGTTAGATTTCTCAGAACTATATACTTTTATCTCCTTTCTTTGTGCTTGGCCTTTATTTCTGCACGTCTTTGCTCTCTTCTAGTTTCAATTTTCTCAATCATGCCACCTTCAATAGTGAAATAAAAAAGAAAAAAGAACACTTATTTCCCCTGCTGCTTTGTGAAATCTTAGGTGATATGCACCCTTGGAACTGCAGTGTTTGTGAGCATACTTATCATTCGTGGAGTGTGGACTGGCATCTTATATCTACAAGATATCCGCAGCCACAGATTCGATCGACTGGATGATGATCAGCACCATGCCTGGACTGGTGCACAACCTGCTTCCTGAATTCCTCTCACTTAACTACTTATACGTTATAAGTGACAAGGTTAGTGATGACACATTAAAAAGAAAAAAGGAAGATAATTAGAATAAAATAGGCTTGGTTGCATAGCCTTCATACTTATTTCATGGTCAGTAAATTCTTCTTTCTCTAAACTTCGTATAAAATTGTTTTAGTCCTTGCCAAAAGTTTTCATTAGTAGTTAAAGGGGGTGGGTTTCGAAACGAAATCGGATTTTTGGAAATGCCTTACGAAAATAGCTGCAAGGACTACAACAACTTTCTATGCAAAGTTTAGGGACTAAAATAGTAAAACATTTCGAAGTTTAAAGATCAAAATAAAATATGCATGAAAGTTTGAATATCATAGTCGAGTTTAAACAGCTGGAATTCTGTTCTATATGATTCAATATAATGTTGTCCTTGTAGCTTTCTGTAAACTATGAAAGAATTTGTTCTTTTTCCTCAAATATTTAGATCACGAGTAGAAACAGCAAGGGAGGGTAGCTTCTGATGTAATATTATGGGGCAGATTTGGTGTATTATTTGGTTGTAATGTTTTTTTTTTTTTTGTGCAATGAAATTGGATTCGTATAAAAAACGAAATGAAATGAAAAGAATGGCTTTGTCGTGGTACGGTAAGGTTCCGAAGTCCCACCTACTTATATTGTGTGCAATCACTTTAATTTTTTTTTTTTGAAAATAAATTTGGTTCTTTAAACTTTTAACTTTGATTCGTAATAGTTTAGTCTCCGTAAAAACGTGGCGTGAAAGGAAAAAATTATAGTTTTTTATTTCTCATGGCTTTTCTCTCCTATTTTAGATTTCTTTTTCTTTTTTATTTAATTTTTATAATGGATAGATATTGTCCTATTTGAACTTTTCCTTTCGCGCTTTTCATCTGGCTTTAAAATGCTCCACACCCTTATAAATGATATTTTTGTTTTCCTTCTCAACCAATGTGACATTACAGGTTTAATTAATTATGTCGATAATTGTAATATAATAAATTATTCTATTATTATAAATTAGTATGAATAAATATTGTTTCATTTATTTTTGCATATTCTTTATTTAAAATATTAATTTTTTTTAGAAAATATTAATTAACTACCTAATAATAGGAACGTAAAATTTATTCAATTAAATAATCTAATAAAATTATCAAAGTATTTAGTTTTATTTTTTTATAATTATAGCTTTTAATTAAAAGCATTATTGGATGATTTAAAACCAATTAGTTTACATAAGTTTACGCCACATACTCGCTTATAATATACTTATTTCTTTTTTTAATTTAAGTTGTTTTTACAAGTTTATATAATTTAAGATAATTGCTAAGATTTATTATAAAATAAATTTAAAAACTTAATCTGAATGAAACTTAAATTAAAATGTAATTAGTTAAAATTATTCTAATAATTTAATTCAATAAAAACTTAATTGTTAATTACCTTTTATTATCTAAACTTAAATAATGTAATAAAATTGTTGAAAATAATTTTATTTATATAAAATTCTGATAATATTTTAAATGTAACATCAAAATTTAAGTGTAGCTTTTGTACCTCACATCAAGAATTATTCCCTATTTTTAAAAATTCTTTTAAATGTTGGTTAAAAATTAATTTCGTGTTAAATATTGATTTGTAATGTTGTTACCATTTGGTCCCTAAACTTTAGTACGTAATAATTTGGTATTTGAATATTAACATATAAGTTATGTTTTAGTTTTTATAGTAAAAATTATTGTTAAGAATATATGAGCCGAGATTGTTACCTGAACACATTGTTGTACTGAGGCTGAGTACGTGTTGTAGTACCGAGGCTGAGTACAACAGATTGTTAAGAATATAGTAAAAACACATTGTTACCGAGACTGAGTACGAAATTAATATTTTCGATACAACACATTAAGAACACATTGTTGTACTGAGGCTGAGTACGTGGCAATAACTGAAGTTGGAAAGAATATGATATGGACGACTGACTATTTGGAAGAATTGGGCAAGAAGCAGTACGAAAAGATTCTTTGTAGAGATAGCCAAAGTGTCATATAGTTGGTGAGGATCCCCGTCTATCATTTTAAGATAAAACACGGAAGGTGATACCATTTCATTTGGAGGTTAGTGGAAGATGATGATGTGTTTTGAGAAGATAGAGGGTGCAAAGAATCCAGCAAACATGTTGACAAGATGTGTTGATGTTGGAATATTGAGGTTGTGCAAAGCCTCAATTGGGATGGTGCAGTCCAGATGCTCATGAATGATCGTTTGAGAATGAAATTCTTAGTTGACTAAATCAGTCTCGGTTAGAATTGTTAGGTTATAGAGTCTAATGCTTATTTATAGTTTAGTCAACTGTTATACTAAAGTAAATTAGCTATTTACGGTAAAAAGCTATATGTTATATATGATAGATAGTTATATACATAGTAGATGGTTATGTATGGTAAAACTATATATAATAAGTTGAACCATATATATTTTTTTACCGCCGCACAAAGAAAATATTTTGTTGCGAATGAACAAGATATTGAGGAATTGTCCATACGTAAAATCATAATTATAATTATTGATATGGGCCTTTTCCACATAATCCACATAAAAAGGGAATCTTTTGTTACAATAGAAGCAGAAGTGATGTGGATTATTCAAGAATCGAAGTCGAGTTATTTCCATGTCTTCCCGCTATCTTATCGCTTACTTTGATTTCACGTTTCTATGAAATATATACCCGAATCATTTCTGGATTATAACTCGAACCCCCTTTTTTCTGGATCCATCTCACATCAATAACTCGACCCCTACTGCCTATAGGTAGTTTTAGACAGGTTTCTTTTGAAGTAGATACCTGAATGCCAAGTATGGCTCGTAATAATCTATCTTCAGGGGCATACGATGATTCTTTCGCCATCTGAGGCGTTAATTTACCTACTAAAATATCACCCGTCTCCACCCACGATCCCAGCATCACAATTCCATTTTTGTCTAAATTCCGGAGTAAGCGGGCTTCTAGATGTGGGATTTCTTTAGTGATTCTTTCAGGTCCGTGGCTTGTCACATGAGTTTGAATTTCATATTTCCCTATGTGGAAAGAAGTATAAATATCTATATATATAGCTTTGAAATATACTCGTGCATTTTCTCTCTATCCTGTTCTTTCTTTATATTGATCTAGATCGAGTATGTGATTCTAACAATATTAAATCTTAAGCATTGAAATCCTTAATCCAAAATTAGATGATACAAAAATATTGTGACACTAAAAAAAAAAATTGCATAAATCAATCGAGACCACACCTGAATGAAAACGATCTCGAGAATAGGATGCTAAGAAAGAGTCAAAAGAATTTAAAGTTACTATTTATATCCACAAAATCTACCTTCGTTTTCAGTGGCTCAATCATAGAAACTTGAAGATTAAACATGGTTTACTTAGAGCAATTCTATATGAGTGACTTCCTAAATTGTTTTCTTAAATATGCGGAAAGAACTCACCCTCTGAAGCCAAAGCCAATGATGTAGAGGAATGTCTGAGCCATGAAGGGGGCGTAGGTCAGTTACAAATGCCTGAGCCATGAAGGGGGCGTAGGTCGGTTACAAATGCCTGAGCCATGAAGCAGCCTAGGGCGTTGAGCCATAAGCCTGGGGCGTAGGTCGGTTACAAATACAGTTTCTTTAAAAAAAAAAAAAAAAAAAAAAAAA